TCACTGCAAGTAGTCTACCTAAATTAACTGAAAAATCATTTAAGTGCTAAGTACAACTAAACAAATTGCAGTTTTGTTTTTTTTTTAATCTTTTTAGCAATCTTGTTTGGAAAGAATATCTGTGTAACAGCCTGTTAATTATGTTATACCCGCAGCCTGTTAATGTAGATCTGGTTTCTTCCAAAAGACACTATGTGATGCAACAGCAATGAAACCGTTCCTTTGTTTTGTTTGAGAGACAAAAACATAACAAATTGAGTCCTGGTTTAGGCTAAGTCACATACAAAACAAAATACCAACAGTCTAATAGGGTGTTGATATTTATTCTGAATGTGACTTGGCTTTGTCTGACTTTGCATACAATTAATAAAGTTACTTGATTTAATCAAAGAACTAAAGGATGGTAAGGTAATTAATCAACGTAGATTTATGGAAAATAGATCTTGTCAAACTGATATTTTTTGAGATTATGAGTTTGGTTGATAAAAGTAACAATGTTAACTTCCCTTTGCTCCATTCATCTGAAGAAGTGGGTTGTGACCACAAAAGCTCATGATACTATCTATATTTTGTGTTTGGTCCTGCAGCACCTTAGAGTCTTTCAAGTGTTAATGTTAGTATGGTGTTTGACTTGATCAGGGATGTTAAGAGGTGGGTATTTAAATAATTGAGTAGTCGATATAATTTTTATTGAATACTTGATTAGTTGATAGGCAGTCCAGCTTAGTCACAGCTCTGGTCAGGTGTGGGACCAAATCCCTCTGTGGCTCTGCAGTTTAAAACATAGTAGGAGCTGGGGAAGGGGGGGACAGGCTGCTTGCCTCCCACTGCCTTTTAAATTGCAGAGCCGCAGCAGGGTTTGGTCCTGCACCTGATGCAAGCCGGGACTCAGTTGGGCTGCCTGCCTAGCTGGCAGCAGCTTCTCTCTGTGGGGGGTTCCAGCGAGGAGTTGGGACCTCTGAGGACAGGGGCTGCTTCGCGTCAGCAGCTCTTGCCATCTCCCCCCACCCTCCGCTGCCTCTGATAGAGGAAGGGGGACAGGTGGCACCATGAAGCTTTTAAGCCAGGTCCCCCTCCGCACCGGCACCTGCTTCCCCATCCCCTCGCTGCCTCTGATACAGAAGCAACTGGGGAGGAGGGAGGACTAAACAGTATAAAATTAACATGGCATATATTAAAGGGATTAAAAACTGACTAACTGATAGGTCCCCAAAGAAACTGTAAATGAGGAATTATCATCAAGAAAATGTACTTCCCATGGGATCCCGCAAAGATCAATTCTTGGCCTCCATTCACTATTTAAAATTTTTATCACTGACCGGGAAGAAAACATAAAATCATCGCTGATCAAGTTTGCGGATGAGACACAAATGAGGAGAGTGGTAAATAATAAAAAGGACAGGACATTGATTGAGTGATCTGGTTTGCATGGTAAATTAGGCACAAGTGAACAGCATGTTTTACTGTTAAGTGTAAAGCTAAGTGTATACTTCTAGGAACAAAGACGGTATGTCATATTTACAGGATGGGAACTCTGTCCCAGGAACAAGTGATTCTGAAAAAGATCTGAGGGGTGTGGTGGAGAATCACCTGAATATGAGCTCCCAGTGCTATGGTGCTTTGATGCCCTGGCCAAAAGAGCTAATGCAATCCTAGGATGCATAAACAGGGGAGTCTCGTAGGAATATCATTTGGCACTGATACAGTTGCTATTGCAATACTGTGTCCTGATCTGGTGCCCACAATTCAAGAAGGATGTTGATAAATTGGAGAGATTTTGGAGAAGATCCACTAGAATAGCTAAAGGATTATAAAACATGCCTTATAGGGATAGACTCCAGAAACTCCATCTATTTAGATTAATTAAGGCAAGGTTTAGAATAGGGATGTAAACAAACAGTCAATGATGTAACTGTGTAACCATTAAAAATCTTAGCGATTACACATTTACATGCTGAGGACTCTGCAGTATAAAGGTTATACTGCAGAGCCTGCAGCACAGCTGGCTCCCAAGGAACAGTGTCAGTAACTGTTGCACACTGGGGTTACATCTACACTGGCCCCATAAAACGGAATAGTCATGCAAAGCAGGTAAGTCAGTATAGGGAAGTCAGTAGGAATAAGAGATCCTCCGGAAAAGGGCTTTATTCCGGAGGATCGCTCCAGTCTAGATGCTTTTTTCCAGCTTTTCCCCAAGCCGGAAAAAAAGCGGCGGACATGTTTATTTAAATCCGCGGGGGATATTTAAATCCCCCGCGGATTTCCCTATTCTGACTTACCTGCTTTGCATGACTATTCTGTTTTATGGGGCCAGTGTAGACGTAGCCTGGGAGTCAGCTTATGCCAGCCCTGCTTTTGGGGAGCCAGCTGCTGCCTGGCATTGAGGGCTCTGATACAGATCCAGCAGCATTGGGTGGGGGCCAGAAGCCTGCTCCTAACACTCACCAGATCCCAGCTGTTGGCCCCACTTTCAAGGAGCTGGCTGTGCTGCGGGCTCTGCAATATAAGCTGTATACTGCTGAGCCCACAGTGTAGGGTGACAGTTGGCTCCCCGAGAGCAGGGCTGGCAGTCAGAGCCATCATGTGCCGAGAGCTGGTTTACGTGCACCAGCAGCTGTTGCCCCGCACTGCAGGCTCAGATACAGAGCCCTCAGCTCAGGGCAGAAGCTGGCTCCCTGGGAGCCAGGTCAGGAGCCAACGTGTAACTGTAACAGAAACCAATATGCTTATCGGTAAACAGTTTAAATGCTTACACTCGTACATCCCTAGTTAAGAAGTGACTTGATTACAATCTACAATTACCTACATGGGGAACAAATATTTAGTAATGGGCTCTTCACTTCAGCAGAGAAAGATAACATGATCCACTGGCTGGATGTTGAAACTAGACAAATTTAGACTGGAAATAAAGTGTGATTTTTCTGGGGGGTGGGGTGGGGAGAGGACTGAAAATTGTCAGGAGATAGAGGATTTACCAAAACCCTTTGTAAGTCGTTCCAATTGTTAATTGTACTCTGTCAAGATAGAATTCTAGGAATTGTTGGGGGAAGTTCTGTGGCCTGTGTTGTGCAGTAGGCCAGACTGTATAGCTACAGTGGACCCTTTTCACTGTGGAATCTATGAATATGTATAGTTTGCTAAAATATATCATGCAAATTAGCTGAGAGTGGATATCAGTACGATTTGAAAATCTTTCTTTTAGAAGTGTATTAGTTGATATTTTATGATTGTAATGAATCTGCAGATGACACCTAAAGCTGATGTCCTAATCAGTCATGACCATTAAAAATATCCTTATACTTTTAAAGCATTAAATAGTGTTGTTGACATGTTCAGAATACTTTGAAACCAATTAATTCCATTTTACTGTAACTTAACCATCCTATTTTAGTTTATAGGAAACCCTTTGCATTCGTGGTAGATTCATTCATGAATGTACAGCGAATGACAAAATTCTCAAGTACTGGAGCTGCAGCCCCTGAACTCACTGCAAGGGGCCAGGAGCCGCGCTGCTCCCAGGCTGGGACAGGAGATCTGCAAATATGCAGAATAGTAAATAACGATTCTGCAAACTGTGAGGATCTCTTGTATTCCAAAGCTTTAAAATGCAGATAACCTGTATGGCCTTGGGCAAATCACTTATCAAAGTCAGGATTAAAATGTAAAATGGAATAGGATTTCTGGTTGCTAACCTGCAAGTTGGTATTTATAACACTGAGGCCATGTCTATGCTACCCCTTTCGTCATCAAAACCTATTGTTACTCCGGTGTCTGAAAAAACACACCCCTGAGCAACATAAGTTTTGCTGACATAAGTGGCAGTAGTGAAGGTAGTCTTATGTGAATGGGAGAGTTCGTTTTACTTGGCATAGAGTGGCTACAGGAGCTGTACAGTGGTACAGCTGCTCTAATGTAAGCTCACTAAGAGTAGACATAACCTAAAATATACCACTTTTGAAAGTGAAAACTTTGTGTCCTACTTAATTTCCAACTGTTGATTACAATTGTGTTTCTTAATTGCCCCTACAGTTTTAAAACAGATACTGGATTTTTCACTTCCTTACCTAAACTGATGTGTACTTTTACTACATCCTTCTAAGTATTTGTTGCATGTCATCATGCAAGTGAGGAGCTCCTTTACACACTACTGTATTTTGGGGAGTTGTTTTATACTTTTGCTTGTGCACATTATATTTTATGTTTAGGTATGCTACAATGCTCAGGTCTCCTCATACTTGGAGAGGTCCTGCATCATGTGTGACAACTCGAGACTCTTGGTCAGGAAGATGAGTGCAAACAAAAAGAAAAAAAGTTGTTTACAGTAGATTGAGTGCCTCAACTATACAGGATATAGGGAAAATCAAAATGAGAAATACAGGAGTCTGCCAAAAATAGATCCTTAGAACAATTCTATTTTCCTCCTATGTGAGATCACAAACAAACAAGGCTATGGAACTGACCTGTGTGTTCTAGAGTTCCTTGTACGTTTGCTGTCTTTATCTAATAAAGGCCTCATTTTCCAGGACTGAACAAGCTTTGACAATTCCAGCCTGCAAGAAAAGAACAAAGTTGGATCCCTTATATGGCAACATAATGGTCAAGTGGCCAGCCCCTCATCTAACCTGATAACTTGACATTGTTCTAATTGTGTGAATAAATCATTCTGAGGCTTTGAGTATTCTGACCAATAAACCACATATGTACCTTCCTACCAAGAACCATATTTAAATATGTTAGCACCTTTTTAGCTAGATATACCTTTCCTGTTCAATGCCTTTTTATAATTAAACACGCTGGTTGGCATTTTAAAACTTGATGCTTCCTAGCAATTCTTATTTTAATGCCTTTTATATTTATTAGTAAACTCTAGAACTCTAGTATATCTCAAAAGAATCATGCTAAGCAATATTGTTTTGTTCTAGCTAAATTTCATTGCTTTTTATTTAGATGATAACACATGTTAAAATAATCTCTGAGCTAATTTTTAAATTTCTTTGCAGACGAAGAAGGAAGTCAGGATGAGTCTTTAGAATCAAAGGTAAGCAATAAGTCTCTTCTTAAGGGCATCTTCTTATCTGTAGCTTCTGTATCTGAAGCCCAAGCTGCAGTCCCTTTTCCCTCCCTAACTCAGGTGCCAGGGCTTGGGCTCCAACCTTCTTCCCCAATGGTCATGGATTAACTGTATTGTCAGAAGGTTGGTTGCAGTGCAGTGAAGTTTGAGAGCCCCTGAACTAAAGCCAGAGTCTGAAAATGACAACTCAATAGAATCTGTTTAGAATCATCCATTAACTTGCTGTATGACTGTGATCAGTGTGGTCACAGAGATACTTGTGAGACTGTCACGTGATATGTTGAAAATATCACTGATGCCACTTATCTGTCCTTTGGGGTGCAC